GATGTATCTCCCCCACCAATGGAATCCTAGTGGGAAGGGAGGCAGCTGATAAAGACCACCCTCCTTCACTGAGAACCACTGGCCTGGACCAACCAGACTTGGAAATACAGACTGAGACGTTATGGACTTGCCTAAGGTCTCACAGTAACACGTTTAAGATAATGCCTTAGTCCCGGCTGCTACAACAAAACACCCAAACACACACTGGGAGGCTCATCAGCAACAGTCATTTGTTCTTCACAGTTCTGGAGGCTGGAAGTCCGAGATCACAGGGTGAGCATGGTCCAGTTCTGATGAGGGCCTTTTTCTGGGCTGTGGACAGCTGACTTCTCACTGTGTCCTCACAGCGTGAAAATAAAAGTAAGCTAGCTTTCTCGTTATATCTCACAAGGGCACTAATCCCACTCAAGAGAGGAGCACCCTTATGACCTAATTACCTCCCAAAGACCCCATCTCCAAATACCTACGTATTGGGATTAGAATTTCAACACAGTCCGTAACAGATGAAAGCCTGAATCCCACACGGTGCCCAGGGCCAAGTGCTACAGGTCTCCCTCACTGGCGTCTGTGATGGCAGCACATGCCTGGCAGCTGCAGCATCTCAGAAGGGCCAGGTGACCTGGAGGGGTTTTGGAGAGGGCGTGTGAGTGTGACTGCAGACTCTGCTGAGAAAGAGCTCTTTTTTTTTTTTTATAAAGGAGCATCAGCTGTCTCAGATTCATCCCTGGGTCAGGAAGATCCCCTGGAGGAAGGCATGGCAACCCACTCCTATATTCTTGCCTGGAGAATCCCATGGACAGAGGGGCCTGGCGGGCTATAGTCCATGGCGTTGAAAAGAGTCAGACATGACTGAAGTAACTCAGCATGCACATCAGCTGTCTGTCTGTATCCCAACTGACATAGGAGAAATATGTGTGATTGGTCTTACCATCAATGGCAAACAGAGCACTTTAGTCTCTTTTCTAGAGATTGATGGTAATTCTGATTCCCTCCACTTCTAACCTGTCTTTTCTGATGCTCCAATAGCATATTATTTGTGACTCGATTTAGCATTTGAATCATTTCATTCTCCTGTGTATTAGCGGTTTTCATGTTGACAGTATTGGAGACGGCACACACAGGACCCTCATAGGGACCCCATAGCCTAGGGTGGGAGGCACTTGGTAAATGCTTGGAATTTAAGGAAATACACTTAATACTTGATACCCTTTAAGGCACCATTAGACCCATATATTTTAAAAGAGACTTCAAATAATTTAGCAACATAATCTTGCTCATGGTCTTGGCAGTTCTGTTCATAGCATAGTAAGTAATGCTCAAAATTCTCCAAGCCAGGCTTCAACAGTATGTGAACTATGAACTTCCAAATGTTCAAGCTGGATTTAGAAAAGGCAGAGGAACCAGAGGTCAAATTGCCAACATGTGTTGGATCATTGAAAAAGCAAGAGAGTTCCAGGAAAGCATCTACTTCTGCTTAGGAAAGCATCTACTTCTGCTTTATTAACTACGTCAAAGCTTTTGACTGTGTGGACCACAACAAACTCTGGAAAATTCTTAAAGAGATGGGAATNACCAATCAGTTCTAAGGAAAATCAGTCCTGAAAATTCATTGGAAGGACTGATGCTGAAGCTGAAATTCCAGCACTTTGGCCACCTGATGTGAAGAACTGACTCATTAGAAAAGGCCCTGATGCTGGGATAGATTGAAAGGCGGGAGGAGAAGGGGATGACAGAGGATGAGATGGCTGGATGGCATCACCGACTCGATGGGCATGAGTTTGAGCACGCTCCAGGAGTTGGTGATGGACAGGGAATACCGGCGTGCTGCAGTCCAAGGGGTCGCAAAGAGTTGGACACGACTGAGCGACTCAGCTGAACTGCTCTGTGCTTGTCACTGTTTATCAGAGTGATAAACTGAAGTGGAGAAAGTGAGGATGGCCGCTTCACGGGCAGGATTAGGAATGAGGAAGGGGCACCCTCGCATTCCCTGGTGGTTCAGCGGCAAAGAATCCGCCTGCCAATGCAGGAAACCTGAGCTCGATTCCTGGCTTCGGAAGATCCCCTGGAGGAGAAAATGGCAACCCACTCCAGTATTCTTGCCTGGAGAATCCCATGAGCAGAGGAACCTGGTGGGCTTCAGTCCATGGGGTCACAAAGAGTCAGACAGGACTAAGCAACTGAACGGCACATCCTCATCTCGTTTGGTCTGCATCTTTACAAACAAGACCAGGACGCGTTGACTCTCTTGTTCGTTTCACAGAGTAACAGAAGACAGCATTTCGGGGGAAGAACTCATGACTTTTAAAATGTTTCCTAAAATGTACTGTTTTCAGTAAAATTATTTAATGTGGAAGGAATCTTGTCAAGAATATAACAACATGCCATTTGTAATGTGTAGCATCCAAGGGCACTTTCTTTTCTGAAACATTCTTGGGAAGGATAATTTTAGAAGTTGGCTGCACACTTCCTGACCCTAAGTCTGCCCTGTCTCCCAGGGCAATTACCCAGAGGACTCTGTTGATTAATGCAAATGAAAACACTGCCATCAAGATTTTAAAACATGTATATTATTATCCATATGTGCACAAAGCAAGTCTCACTGGGCAGCTTGAGTTGGCCGATGTGTTTTTAGTCTATCCGTGCTTTGGTTTGTTATATCAGGCAAACTTTTTTGTCTTTATTTTTCACATTTCAGGAATGAATGTGTCCGATACTGATGTGGTTTAGATGGATTAAAGATTTAGATTTACATGTATGAAGGTGAGGAAGCCTTGGAACTTAAGGTACCTGGATGATTACAGTCAGGCCATTGGACCAGTCGTGTCTTTGAAGTTCTTTGGAAGTCCTGGGAACTTTCACTTACTCATTGTATGTTAAACAGCACGGCTTCCCAGATTGTTACAATAGTATTGACCTCAGGGACCTTGTTTTCAACTGTTCTCTTCCATAGTTGATTTTTGGCCATCTCCTTTGGCATGATTAAAAGCTGACTTATTTATGGAGTGCTGCTAATTGATGGATGTCAAACTCTGTTACTGTGGGGGGCAGGGGCAGGCTTCCCAAACTTTCGAATCCCAACTGGGAAATTTTGAAAACCGAGTGCGTGGTTTTCCCATGGAGCCTCTCCCAGCCACTCTCATGCACATCCTGCCTTCTCCTGCTCACTTTTTACCAAAACCAGAACTTGAGAGGCCACGGAAGCCCCGCTATAATCCTCTCTCTCTATGCCAAACTGAGGAGAGCACCAGGGCATCAGATGACTGGAGCGGAGCCCTCAGACCTGGACTCAGCCCGAGGGATGTCCCTGAGAACTATTTTCTGAATTCAACAAAGCAAGCTACTTGTCTCTGCTCTGTACCTGCAGTTGCTTTCTGGATTTAGCTTTTATTTTTAGCACATTCTTATTGTCTCTCTCTTCGATACTCTGAAAGGCTTGTCCGAGAGCGGTTTGTCACAGTGATTTCCTGTGAAGAATGAGGGGTTCAGGAGTCTGGGGGAAGGGGTCTTCGGATGCTGGCCGCGTGTCTGCCAGGTTACTGCTGGTGGCAGCCACCCACTTGTTGGAGAACCTTCCATGAGGACCACCATGTTGCATCCTTGAGGAAGTCAAGGCTTGGGTTTCCTTTTCTTTTTAGAGCATTGGTTTTGAAGTCAGAAAAATCCTGGTTTTACCATATATCTGTCCGAGAGGCTTCTTAGCACATTTGAGCCTCACTTTGCCCGTCTGTAGAATGGGGAGGTTATTGCAGACTCCCATGGCATCGCTGCAGGGATGGAGGAGCTCACCCTGGGAGCAGCTCTTGCAGTGCAAGGCAGGTACGTGGCAGGCGAGTGGGTGATGACCCTTCCCGTCCCCCTAACGGGAGAAGCCCAGCTGCACACACCCCTGTCCTCTGTGTATCTGTAGCTCACCTCCAGTGATTTTCCATGATGCCACCTCCCCGCTCATCCTGATCTCCAGGGAGTCTTGCCAGTGGTTCTGCCTTCCTATGTCTTTCCTTGTCTATTACCAGCAAGAGATGACCACTGTCTTAGGGCACCTGATGTTTGGAACCGCAAGGAGACAATGTGCTTCCCGGAGCCGAGGATCCGAGCTTTCGTGCGTGCTTTCCTAGGAGGCGAGGAGAAGCAGGGCTGTCCTGTAACTCCTAACCTGTATCTGGCGTTGCCAGGACAGGCACTCAGGGCCTGGACGGATGAATGGGGCCTCTGTGTGTGGATGAAAAAACCCAGCGTTTCTCTTCCAGTTGCTGCAGTGAGAAGAACAAATTAGATTATTAATTTGATCATGTGGTAGCATGAGCCGACAGCCTATTTAGTTTCATTGTTAAAACAAGTGTGGTTTTGAATGATGTGGACTTTCCCTCTTACTTAGATGGCAAAGAATATTCATTACGGATATCAATAAAGACCATGCTGGTGATCCAGCCTCCAAAGCTGCCAGCCCCCCTCGCATGCAGAAAAGGCAGAAAAGGACATTTAAATGGTTGAGAATAAGAATGGGAGACTGGAAGCCAAATTATAAACTCATTTCAACTCCTGGCCCGCAGGCCCTAGAGTGGCCTTATTTGTTGTCAAGGATGGAAAACAACTCGGATTCGGGTCCAAGTGATTATTCGACTTTGGCATTGCTGTGGGGCTGCCAACTGCAGTTCCATTTAGACACAGATTAATTAGCCAGGCAGGGACGGAAGTGGGCCGGGAGAGGAGGCAGCGCTGCGGGGGGACTGGCCGGGCGGGGGTGGGGGTTCGCCGGATTCCTGAAAGGCCGGGGGGCGCAGGGCTGGACGGAGCGGGCGGAGGGGGGCGTCCGGGGAGGAGGCGGGTCCCGCGGGCGGTGCGCGGGGCGTCCGCGGGGGCGCGCGTCCCGGGGAGCTGGGCTCTCCAACTTCCCAGGGGTTTGCTGTTTTGTAACATTTCTTCCTTCCCTACGACCGACCATTAGAAAAAAGTGGCGGCGCGGCGCGCGGTCCCTCCCCCCTATCCCCGACCCCACCTGAACCGCGGCTTCGCTGCGGACGCAGCGCCCAGGCCCCGGCGGCTTCGGGAGCCAGCGGGCACCCTTCCTCCCTGCGAGGTTTGCTTTTTCTGGGTTCTTTTCCAAGAGTGTGACTCTGCTTTGCTTTGACACACGTATCTACATGGCTCTCGACGTTTATTTTAAACCTTGATCATTTTTTTTTAAAACAAATGCTTTGCATTTTACCTATTAAAATAGAGGAAAATACCATCCTGCTTTTGGGGGCAGGACTTTGGATAAATTGTATTTTAGATCCTAAGTGATTGATTTAAAATTTTGTAATATCATCTGTATTTAAGGCGTGGAAATTCCCAGAAGTGACTCCTATTTTTATTTTTTAGATTCCTTTCCATTTCAAGGAGGAAAGTCAAGATATTTTTACTCGGTGGAAGAATGATGTAGTTTCATCCTAACCTTCTTTTCTTATGCTTCCAGGTAAGTGAGTCTGTTAATCATGAATTACTTAAGAAATGAATCTTTGTATGGTCTGAGTTTATTCAGTATTCTGGCTATGTTTGAAATGTGCTGAATTTCATTTTACTTCCAATAGTTCCATTAATAACAGATTATTATTTTAAGATACGAGTACTTTTTCAAGGTAGTATAATTACTTGGCTGCCTTGGAAAATTCTTTTATTCACTTGTGAAGCCTGTAATTTACATTTAACTCTGCCAACTTCTTCAGAATTTATCTCTTCTCAGAATGGCAAATGCCAATAATGTAGTTAGAAGAACTACGTAATTCTTTTTTAAAAAATTCACCTGAATAGAATCATTTGTTCTTCTTATGGAAGTTGTGATGAAATGTTAAGCTTTCTCAAATATTTAACCTATAATCAAAAGGGCATCATAATTTTCACCATGCTACAAAATAATTATTTAAATAAAATAGGAAATTGAAGGATGATCTTACTTTCTGACTTATAGCATCTCAGGGGAATACTTTCTAGAACTCTTGGAGAATAGTACCCTGACAGATTATATGGTTGGTTTCAGATTTATGGTTTGGGGACACATGTAAATCTCAGGGACATTGTTTTAGTTCTGCTCTTGTAAGCAGTGATTTTGAATTTCTCTACAATAACATATTTGATTACATCTGGAAAGACTAAACCATTGAAAAAAACTAAGAACTTCAGGGACATCATTAGTTGAAATGGAACAGTATGAGATGGGAAGTCACATATGTGGTTCTTGCGTTCAGCAGAACAAACCTTTATCTTAGCTTTCTATGGAGATGAGTCTATAGACATAAAAGTGAAAATAGATAAGCTGTGCTCACCATCTGCATACCTTCAGGAAAACCCCTTCACTGGTCTTCATTCAGCAAATTGCTGTAGAGGTTTTCTTTTGATTTTTAATCTTTTCTCTTGTGGTACTGTTGAGATAAAAGGCTGACAGTCAGAACTTTGGATGTGATTGTGCTTTAATGAAGTGCTTTGTTCTCAAACAATGGCAAGTGAGGCGTTAAAGGGATTGTATCTGAGTTACTAGTAATGAAAAAGAAAAACAACCTTGACCAAAGTTAGTAATACATACGAAAACAACCAAACAATAATCTTCACAAATTATTTTCTGAGTAGAGACTTGAGTGGCTAATAGGCCTAAGTGACCCAAGGCTACTTTGAGGGTCACAGTGGAAGTCCTCTAATCTGAGGTATTTCAATGTTTAATGTTTTTGAGAATGACTTGGATGATGTGGAAGAGAATAGGGTCATTAGAACATCATGATGTTGAAACCTTGAGATAATTGTAGAGAAGAGCCAGAGTAAACTGCACTAAATAGAGAAGTAGTGAGAAGTAGTCCAATTAAGATGTTCATACCCCAGGATGAAGTGATGAGGGAGGCCCGGCTGGGTTTTGGCAAGGGTCTGGTCTCTGTACGTCCTGCCGCAGAGACACGGTGTTGCTGGGGAGTCAGGCTCCCCTGGGACAGTGGGAGCTTGGGAAAGCCTTCAGTTTTCCAGGAACTGTGGGCCTCCCAGGTGACACTAGTGGTAAAATAACCCGCCTGCCATGAAGGAGACAAAAGAGATGTGGGTTCGATCCCTGGGTCAGAAAGATCCCCTGGAGGAGGGCATGGCAACCCACTCCAGTATTCTTGGATAGAGGACGGTATCTTGGACATTATCCTGTGGACAGAGGAACCTGGTGGCCTATCTATACTCACTCCATAGGGTCACAAAGAGCCAGATACAACTGAAGCGACTTAGCATGCATGCACACTCCTTATAATCAGTTCCTCATAGATGCAGGGCTTTGAATGTCCGTTATAGGGGACCTTCAGCAGGTCTTCAGGGGGCAACCGTGTAGACTGGGAACGAGTGGCTGGCTGGCAGGTGTACCTGCCCTGTGCACAGTGGTCCTGCAGTCCCAGCCGGGAGAGGTGGTTGGTTCAGTTGTTCACCAGCTCGAGGTGCTGAAAGGCTCCCCGGGGGATCTCCTGGTCTCCTCTGTGTCCCCCTGGTACCTTCGGTGTCACCCGGCCTTCTCCGTGAATTGCGGCCCACTGAGGTCGTGCCCCCACCCGGAGCCTGGTGTCTCCACACTTTCTCCCACTGGGAACTCTTCCTTCGCTGCCACCTGCCCAGGGAACGTTCACTGGTCCTGCAGTGGCAAGCCCCCCGTGGGGCTTCCAGCGCTCAGACACAGGTCCTGGCACCTGGATATGCTGAAAGAGGCATTGCATGGTTGATGAAAGCGTGGGAAGGGAATTTAGGGGTGCTGGCCCTGTGGGAACCGCACCCCTCTGCTCCCCACACCCTCCCGAGCGGGCACCTGGCACTGTCTCCTCATCATGGTCCCACGACGGCCGCCTGGACCCCCGAGCAGGACGCTGACCCGGCGGTTCTCACTCTGTGATCCAGTTAGTTCCTCAGATGCTGTCTGTGGGGTCCAAGCTCTGTTTGTGGACAGATCACCCTGTAGTTCTTTGCAGCTCTGCGAGCCCATTCATGATGTGTGTCTATCAGATAATGTGAAGTAGTAGCCGATGCCATTTCATTTTGGAACGAAGGGGTGTTGCAAGTAAATATGGATGTAAAACCATAATGGAGTAACTTGGCAAATTGCGCATATTTTCAAAACTAGAGAATCAAGTAGAGAAGTTTGTATCGATCGTTTACGAAGTGGTCTTCTTCGGGATCTGTTTTGGACATCCACAGTCTTTCCACTTAATGGAATGAGACGTGAAGAATGTAAGCTTGTCATGAGTGCCAGTGTCTGCTGCTGCAATTTTAATTTATCCTCCTGAACCACAGTTCCTTTTCGGCAGATGGGGCTTCTCCAGGCCAGGCCAGGAGAGGCACGCTGGCCCGATGCAGTCTGCCTCGGGGCCACTGTCTCTGTCTGCTGATTGTCACCTCCTCAGGCCTGGCTTTTGTCTTTTCTGCTCTGTTCCCAGGCTCTGCTCATTGAGATTCTCCTTCCATCAAGTGGGTTTCTTGCTTCAGCCTCTCATGCCCGTGTCTTGCCCTGCTGGCCCCTCACCCCGCAACCTTCCACCTCCTTCTTCCTCTGTGCCCCTCCTCACTGCGTTCCTGCTCTGGACTCAGCCCTGGAAATCCTTCCTGGCCTTTGCCCGGCCTGGGGCTGGGCCCTGTCGCCCCGCACCATTCTTCATTGTCTGCAGTTGCTCACCTGCTGGGTGTTTGTCCTGTGGCCATCATCGTCCTCAAAGAGGGCTCTGAATCTACCTTTGCATCACCTGGCATATGTTTGTCCACATACATGTTCACAGACAAATGTTTGGATGAATTTCTGGTATCTGAAAGCCCTCATCAGAACCAAGCATCGTCAGTATTTTAATTTGCTGAGGGCTTGACCATGTACAGTCTGCGTGACTGAACGCGCGTGCAGTGACAGTATGCCTGTCTTTTCTCTGCCTTCTTTTCCCTCTCTGTCTTCTTTCACATTTGTGTTTTCTGTGCTGCCATGGATAGGAGGAATGTGAACTGGTGCTCTAACTCCAGCACAAGCTCCTGCTTAGGTTAAATAAATTCTTTTATAAGTAAGTCACGGAAGGTTGGAAGCAACCCAGCTGTCCACTGGTGGTGAGTTGATAAACAAAATGTGGTCTATACATTCAGTGGAATAGTACTCAGCCTTAAAAAGGAAGGAGATTCTAACATATGCTACAACATGGATGGAACTCGATGTTACACAAAGGTGAAATCAGACAGTCACCAAAAGGCAAATACTGCATGATTCCATTTTTAGGAGGTAGCTGGAGCAGTCATACTCATGGCGACAGAGGGTAGAATGGTGGTTGCCAGCGGTTGAGGGAGCAGAGGATGAAGTTGTTTAATACTGTTTAAGTTTTCAAGACAAAGAAGTTCTAGAGAGTGATTATATGACAGTGTGAATATATTTGAAAATTTGAAGAAAATAAACTTTATGTTACATGTATTTTACCATAATTAAAAATAACAAAGTAAGTCAAAGACCTGACTTTAGAAAAGAATAATAATCCTTTGAAAGTAAAAAACAAAAAGTTGAAAGGGATTTCTTTTTTTTTTTTTTGCCACTTAATTTTTTTAATGAAAGGGATTTCTTTGATTTGGGGACATTTCCTTCCTTGAGCTTGATTTTTCGTTTGTGTAGAGTGTAAAAGAAATTACTGATTTATGTACTTTTGGCTGTGTTGGATCTTTGCTGTGGCCCTCGGGCTTCTCCTTGCAGGCTCTTCCCTTGTTGCAGGGTACTGTCTGCAGGGTGCTGGGGCTCCGTAGCTGTGGCCCACGGGCTTCGTTGCTCTGCCGCATGTTTATCTTCCCCCAACCAGGGATGGAACCCGTGTCCCTTGCATTGACAGGTGGATTCTTAACCCCTGGACCACCAAGGAAGTCCCACTTAGATTTTATATCACTTTTCATTAAAAAATGGTACTGTGTAAGAAAAACAAATTATCTTCCCATTGATGAGACCTTTGGAATTTACTTTTAGACTTTGTTATTCCTTTTCTTAGTGTTGCCTGTATTTTCAGTTAAAATCTGGTTCAAAATTACCCACTTCCTCACCTGTTTTTCTTCACCAAAGGTAACAGGATCCTATTGCTCATCTGGAAATACTTGTATGACATTGAAAATCAATATGAGGAGCAGGAATGCTTTTTCTGTCCCAAGAAGAGGGCATGACAGACTCTAGGGTTTAATTTGACTGCTCATGAGGAGATAGCTGGGCTTTCCTGGTGGCTCAGACGGTAAAGAATCTGCCTGCAATGAGAGAGACCCTGGTTCGATCCCTGGGTCAGGAAGATCGCCTAGAGGAGGGCATGGCAACCCTCTCTAGTATTCTTATCGGGAGAATGCCAGGGACAGAGAAGCCTGGCAGGCTACAGTCGATGGGGTTGCAAAGAGTCAGACACTACTGAACGACTAACTCTAAGTTTCAAGGAGACAGCTACTTTAAATCTTGCCTTTTTATTTTTATATTTT